CGTCATCCTTAAACACCTCTGGAGTCATTCCATCGGGTCCCGTAGCTTGTTTCAAATTAGTGACAGCTTTAGTAACCTCAATTAGGGACGGAAGACCTGTGTCTATATCCCATTCAGGGAGGTGTTGGATGTTCGGTAAGTCTAGTGTGGCTGTGGGCCAGTTGAATTGCTTCTTAAAGTGGTATTTCTAGAGTTCCAGTCATCTATCCTGGAAGTTAATTATGGTGACATTTTTCTAAGAGATTGTTTCACTTATCATTTGCGTTTTACCACCTGTTTCCCTGATAAGTCTAAATAGTTGTCTGGTGTTGCCAATCGCCGACACCTTTTCCATCTCTTTCGCTTTTGTCGCCCACCACTGTTCACGGTCCGAGCGAAGACTTTGTTGGTTTTCGTTCAAGTACCTTTCGCTCCTCATCATAATCGGAGCTCGCCGGAATCAGTCTTCATGCGTCAATCAGTTCGGATGAGGCGATAGAGATCCAATGGCTTTTACTAACTTTAGGTTTCAGGTTATTAACATCTTTTACAGCTGTGTTTACAGCTAACTTTATGTTGTGCCAGGCTACTTCAGGAGAAGTACTGCAGTCGACCCCAGATACACGTTTCTCTATTTCTTCCTTAAATAAGTACTCAGAGTCTCGATCTAGTTAGGGGTGTAACTCTTTCGCTGCCAGCAATTTCTTATGTCCGTCTAGTCGTAAGCATACACGTGCACGGACCAGAATGTGATCGCAGTCTATGCACGTGTTCCAGTACAAGCAACGGTCTTCTAATGACCCTTGCCAACGATACCCTATCGCTATGGGGCCTGTCTGAGTCCAGTGTTGATTTGGTGATGGAGGTCGTCAGGTTACTCAGTGTCTCTCTTTGCACTTCAAGTTAGTGATGACTAGGAGCAGATAATTATCTGAACAGAACTGTAGAATGCGATCACTGTTGTCGGTTCGTTGGCAGGGATCTCCATATATACCACCTACATACTTCTCAGTCTGGTAGAATTTCCCTACTTGGGCATTGAATTCGCCTGCTAGACCAACTATATCTGAGCGTTTTGCTTTATGCAGCTATTTGAACAGTTTCTTGTAGAGGTCATCGTTTAGTTCATCCGGACCGCAGTCTGTTTTGGCGTAAGAGGAGACTATGAAAAGACAACGACGGGTTACGCCGTCCTTCCTTCCTCTAACGGGCCACACACATACTACTATCTACCGGGATCCAGTCAAGAAGTGATTTTCCTGCCCTAACACTCAATGCTATCCCTACACTTGCGAGACCTCGCGAGCTAGCTGAGGGGTCTCCTGATACCCTTATAGTGAATTTTTCAGAATTACCTTGTAGGCCGGGTGAGATTAAGTGAATGACAATACTCGGGTCTTGAGTGGGTGTCTCCGAAACACAACGTGCATCCATGAATCCAGATGCCAGGTTCTTGCTAGTGACGCCTGTTGTCCGATTTGGCAGAAGGTCCAGACGTTAAAAGCTCCCATATGGAGTTGGCGACGTGGCATTAAAAGGCTATCTGGGGCGTTTCTATGGCTAACATCGTTGTTTGTGGACACAAAGTGAAGTGAGGATGACTCACTAGCCTGAAGAATAGTACCGACTGTAGTAGGAAAGTGAGACAATGAAGATGGTGTGAGTAAAGGAGAATGATGCTCAGGAAGGCTTGGTGTGGTTTCGGAAGTGTGTGGGCGGTCGTTACTTCCCGGCTTCCCACAACGTGCAAGTTGATTGATTACTCGAGAACCTGAAAGAGAAAGAGAGTTAGTATTGCGTGACCGCAGAGCTCAGGGTACGACTGCTTGAGGTCGGTTACACACGGCGTGTATGAAATGGTTTCTTGGATTGCGCAAACGTTGATGCAGCTGAAGAGGAAATTAGAAAAGAAAACGAAGTGGAGGTGTGTTTTTGAAGCCCTATATTCCACTCGGAACCCAAATGAATAATGATGAAATCAACAATAATATCCACTAAATAATGAAACAAGCAGTTTAACGAAGAAGATTCTTTCGGGAAGATATATTTCCAAAAGCTTCACAGCTTCATAAATTCATTCCTAAACCGTTGTTTGAGATGTGGTGATAACTAGCTGTTTTTTTACTAAATGAGTAAATGACTTCAGTATGGCAATAAATCAGTGTACGCAAGAAATTAAATGCACACATGCCGAAGGGATTTGTAGGACAAAAGCACTTTTTATCTACTACACAAGAAGACACAACAACTGTAAATGACAATAATCCACGAATCGGTTTTGCAAAGTGCATTCGGAAAATGTAAGTATCGCAAAATTACCATCTATCAACAAGAACAGCAAAAATTGGAAACAAAATTAGATTAAAACGAAACAGAGGGCCGGTTTCACAAGTTCTTGACTGATTGATGAACTTAAACGGAACTAGCAGGCACTCGTCAATTCGATTTGGCACACTTCTAAAAGTACACAAAACCGGACAAAAATGTCATGACAGAGCAGCGACAATTCGACGGTAAATAGTGGACATACATGTGCTGTTGCAAAAGATCTTCAGTCGTCTCTGAGTTCAGGAACACTGCTTTGTAGCATCTCGAGAATCCAACTAAGAAACCTCGACCTGCCTAGGTTGTTCAGACCAATGACCAGTGATATTATGGCTCTACTTTGAGCTCACCATTACTTCTATGTATCCCCACATATTTCTATGTATGTAAGCACACCCCTGTTAATGTTACGAATAAATAGACAAGCAGTACAGCTTTTCCAGACAGTCTCATCAAGCCTTCAGCTACTCCGCCATCAGCACACTATCATAAATAGCCAACAAGGAAATTTAGAGTTAACAAAATCGCTAAACCTCTGCTGCATACCTCATCTTTAGAAGGTAGCCCAAAAAATGCAAATAACACCGCTAGAAAAGATAATCAACATACTTTCGTAGCCCCCACGCCTTGAGTTTGTTTCACGCCGTCTTCACAACAGAATCCAATCCACAATTTCCAAAGCGAGCAAATGAAGTCAGTTTGTGAAAATGAAAAGACATGTTAATGGAACATAATAATAATAATAATAATAGTATATTCTCATTTTTTACATGAGGGACACCAATTTACAGGCATCATCACTTCGATAAATTACACATACGATTAGTAAATATAGTTAGTAATGATAATATAATAGGGTACATATTTGTTCATACAAATATAGGAAAAACAAGTTCTATAGGAATGGATAAGAATTAAATAAGTTACATATTTAAATTACATGATTTACGGTTAAATAACATGGTTGCTGTCATTTTATCTTTAGTTTGTGGGGAAAATCGGATAACTGGTGATTCAATGGAACACACCAACAAATATAGAGATATTGACTTCGCATTAACAAAAAAAACCCAAGTATGCGTTGGATGGACTACATACACTTGGGAAAATAAATAAAGCTTGAAGTCAATTCCCTCATAAAACAATAAAATGCGTCTTACAATAATATATTCCCACTTTATGCACATGAGGGACTCCAGTTGACAGGCATCAACAATATGGTAATAATGCACACATGGAGTAAACATGTTTAAAATTTTCCACTAACACAAAATATATATACAAGGTGAGATAATGAAATATTGACCGTAAGTACACTCTGCATAAGTTAAAACAGTTTATATGGCATAATCCTAGGCACAATTATTGTTTGAATTTGTTGAACATGAGCGAAACAACTGAGTGTTGCGTTACATTCGGTCGATATGGTGGGCTAGTCACAAAAGTATAAAAATGACTTATAAAACGTTACTCAGTTTACCGTAAACGATGTTTTAAGCAATATAAACTGCAAACGGCTCACCGCAGCAGTTATTATCCAGTTAAACATGCAGAGAAGTAATCATAATTCAGCAACTTGTGAATTTTTATTCTTTTCTGTCTGGAACCTGAGTAACTGCGAACCAATCCATACAAAAATGTCGAAAGAGGCATGCAGGAGCAGAATTTTGCCATTGAATGAGTCATTGGGATCTGAGATGCAGCTATCAGCATATTTTCGTCATTTCATAGATATCCAGATTTATTGACGCTGTATAGGTAGTGATTTGGATTTGTCATCATGATCGACATATGGACGAATATTCAAAATCGGAATACAACTTGTTTGCCTTTCGGATTTACTTAATTACATCGCGTGTTGGGTTTGATTGCTCTGCGATTTTGATATATTCCGCGGTGTCGCCGTGATTATGGGAAATGTGCATATGCTTTAAATGCATTACTTTGTTGGCTGCAATCCCCACTGAGTGTATACAACGGGAACTGTGGATTTATGTATTTGCGCATAACTGTGGATAAAATATCGCCGCATTCCTTTTGGAAAGGAGACCAGTTGGTGGATTATAAATAATGTCCAAGTAACTTATATCCTTCCATGTGATGTTGTGGTAAGTCTCGACCTTGTTTTCTCATACTTCATTCATATGTTGATTATGGTTCAGGCTTTGTATCAGGTAGACATAATTCGATCGACTCTTATTTGTATGAGTGTTATTTTCATGACTGCTGCTTGTTTGTCTGAAATTATAGATAAAGGCAAAAGAAACAACAGGTGTAGTCTCTAAGTTCATACATTAAATGGGCCTATAATTTCTGAAGCTCTTACATGGGAATTAGCACTGTTATCACTTACAAACCCACTTAGTGTGTCATTAAGAGCTTTTTCTCGAATAACAAATGTCCATAAAGAATCTTTACCTGAATCTCCTAGAAAATAAAATGGATTAAACACAAACTCCATGTCAGGAAATGAAGACTTATAAAACCTCAACACAAACTGAAGCCAAATTTCACTTACTAAATGCATACAATATCTGACGTACACAGAAACTCTCGAAGACTTAGTTTATATGTGCCTAGTATTACAACTTATGTTAACAAACACACATTCAAAAACATTGAGTCTAGTGTCAATTGTTCATGTGGCTGTTACAAGCAACTGCTAGTATAAAAAGTGAAAAAAGGTTTTCAGTAGTTCACGTAAGGCATAATAAAAACCATAGGTTAACAGTCAATAAATAATCAACAAATAAATTAGCACAAATCTCTGTTTCTTGTGTCCACTGCTCAACAACACCTAACCTCGGAGAGTTTGAGTTCCGTCGACTTGAGTCAAATCGCGGGGACCCCGGTACTGCATAGTCATCAGTTCTTCGGTGCCTTGGATTACGTTCACGAGCGTAACTGCAAGATACGCTATCGCTGGTAGAGCATGAACGACTTCTTTTAGCTCGAGCATCTAAAGGCACGTTGTTTACTGCAGGATTGATTGCCATCCCAGACCGCGTCACCATACATGGATTAGGCAAACCACGAGCTTGCTGCAATGCCTGAGAAAGAGCAGCCCCCGCAGCAGCGCTTGCTGCCGACCCAGAAATACGAAGTTGCTGCTGCTGAAGGAAAGGTAGCAGAGTAGTATTTGAGGAATTTGATGCATTTAGACGTGATAGAGAACCACTGGGAGTTGGATAATTTGAAAATATGTTAGGAAGGGTGGGAGGTTGCACTGGCAATCTGGAACTCATTGTAGGATTGAGATTAGATGTTCCACTACGGGTTTGAGAATTGACTGATTGCGTTCCTGACGATTTGATCGCAGCCATCGCTGCAGCTGCTGCCATAGCCGCAGCAGCTGCGGTTACTTGCAGCAGCGGTGCAGCTCCTGACGAAGACAAACTTGAACCACTAGCATTAAGTAATGGCGTCATAGGAGGGAAACTCATTAAACTTCTTCTCTCTGTGGAAGTCGAATATCGTTGATTTCCAACATTAGCATCTCCCAAAAGTCCAACATTGGCTTGACCGCCTGCGCCACCAACACGTGAACCATTATGGTTATTTTGGCCAACACGTCCAACAACTTTTCCAAGTCTTTCAAAAGCATTCCGACGACTAGTTCTTTCACCAATCGTTTGAACAGTATTAAGATGTTTCGACTCATCTCCAGATCCATCACCAAGCATCAGACGGCAGAGTGCTTCACCACATGTTGGCTCAATTTCCTGAAGCTCAATTAATTAAAATTTTGCACCCACCTGACCATCTCTTCCAATTTTAACAGGTTTATCTTCGTTCCAGGCATTCAACAGATGCCCTGTTTTTGTAAAGGGGACGTCAAATCTAATAATGGGTTTATCTTTCTCTAAAAGAACATACTTGGATATCCATTTACTCACAACATTAGCTAGTCGCCAGAGGAGATTTTAGTCCCGGCCATATCTAGGTTGTTTACTACTCGACCTTGAGGTAGAACTCCTACCACACTGAACTACCCAAAATACAGTTTTGCCAGGGATATTCGCCATAATATTTGATTAATTTGACAGTCAGCAGCTGGGGTTAAATGGATTTGAATGAGTGAAAAGGTATGACATGAGGTGTGAGGGTAGTTCATGTAGATTCATTGCAGCTTTCGTAGTGAGTATGTCAGACTGTGTATTCCACTCCAGGTTTGTATGAAAGGATTGTGGATATTTTGTGATGATGCTTGCTAAACAAATAATTGAATCAACTAAGAAATGGAACTGAGAACAGCATTAGCGCAACGTTGATTATTTTAAATGTCTGATAATACTGACCGTTTCTGTTAATGCTCTGGGTGAACAGATCTGTTTAGGTACGTAAGTCGAAGGAGAAAGAAACAATATCCTGCTGGATTGGTGTCCTGTCGTGAATAATACGTACATTTTAAAAGCTGCTTGCTTTCCTAAAGAGATGCTAGTTGTTTACAAAGTGACTTGCATTCACAATGCTACTAAATTTGAACATTATTGGACAAGATGTATTAGCTGAAGATTTACGCAATCGTTTGCAAGCACAATAGGAATTTGGTATTTCACATGCCTTTAAAAGTGCTTTTTTCAATGTTTTAATGTTGATACTGTCAGACACATTGAAAACGTTGGCATTATACATTCACTGAACACGCTTTATCACTTCCTTGGAAATGTGATCTATAATTCTCGCACAAGAATGCAGTGTATCGTAGTCTTGACACAGTTCGCCACATACTGAAAATTCGTGATATTGTTTCTTTCCCCTTTGACTTACGTACCTAAATAGATCTGTTCACCCAGAGCATTAACAGAAACGGTCAGTATTATCAGACATTTAAAATAATCAACGTTGCGCTAATGCTGTTCTCAGTTCCATTTCTTAGTTGATTCAATTATTTGTTTAGCAAGCATCATCACAAAATATCCACAATCCTTTCATACAAACCTGGAGTGGAATACACAGTCTGACATACTCACTACGAAAGCTGCAATGAATCTACATGAACTACCCTCACACCTCATGTCATACCTTTTCACTCATTCAAATCCATTTAACCCCAGCTGCTGACTGTCAAATTAATCAAATATTATGGCGAATATCCCTGGCAAAACTGTATTTTGGGTAGTTCAGTGTGGTAGGAGTTCTACCTCAAGGTCGAGTAGTAAACAACCTAGATATGGCCGGGACTAAAATCTCCTCTGGCGACTAGCTAATGCTGTGAGTAAATACGTCTACGCGAATTCCAGCCCTACGCGGGATCGTCTAAAAAATCAGCTTAACTACACTGTGAGCCTCAAATATTAACGGATTTTATTTTACTGTTATGTTATTATAATCCTCTGTAGTCGAATTCTTCTGAACCATCTATAATAGTTAACTACTGTCTCTTTTTATGCATACATATACATGACTATGTACCTATACCAATTTTTCCCTTCTCGTACCATATCATATTGCCCCTTTGTTTCATCTGTTTAAACTAAAATCTAGAAGGTAGACTGCGAATCTCTGATTTCTTTACTTTTTTATTGCACACATATATTTTTAAAATGCTGCTAGGGACGATACATACAAAATGGCTGACTGAAAGTAGTCTTTCATACCATGAGTTCCGTTGAGTTAGCTAGTGAATGCAAAAACTGTCTATGCGATACGTAGCAGTATAAAAAGTTTTTTGCTAAAAACAAAAGGAGTATTTCGCCAGGGCCCAGCAGATTGAAAGGTGGGAGGATGGTGACTGCTATTCAGCGGATATGATGGTAGGGACTTAGGAGAACCACCCTTATCTGTGGGAATGCGCTCTGTTGCTAAGGCTCCTGAGTTTGAATAACTTCGACAAAAAATAAAATAAAAGCTGTCTGTATGCAACAGCTTGTGTATAAACTCTTTGAAAACAAGCTCATGGTACAATTTCTCTACTTCAGAAGGACATCTAACTGTATAAATCAGAACAACAGCATAAATAAATATTATCATTCTTCATCTTTTCTTCTACATATTTTATTTACTTTGGCGTTTGGATTCAACTTCTTCAATTTCTATTCGCATTACCCTATATAGGTGTGAAAGTCATTATCATTTGTGTTGCCCTAATTTTTTATATTTTGTTATTCTATATTTTTTGTCGTCTACTACCGTAAACTTGAACTAATCGCTGGTATGTAACACTATAAAACTCAATGACTCTAAATTCTTAGTAACAAAAAGGGGAATAAACCGTGAGATTATTGCATATTGTTTGCTTAAATTATTATTGTTTGATGGCTGCCTCTGCACTTCTCGTTCTGTTTTCTTCTTTCTCCTCTTCTCGAAGGTATTGCATTGAGGCACTGCAGATGAACAGCAATGCTCCTTCTACGTTTGTATTACTTGAGCGTTGTTCAGAATATTGTTGGCACATACGATGAACAACGGAACAAATTCCATTCTGAATTCTGTTTATTATCACAAAGTTGGTCCCTTGTATCTGTTAATACCAAAATAATGTTGCATTTACCCTCTACTGTGGAGTTTTATAAATTTTTGAACTTTTATTAATTGATAAAATGATAATCATCACAAGGCCTGTATCCTGTGTGTCTTACTCTGGTACCTGTGTACCACCTCTCTTCGTACCTTCCATTAACGCAACATTTTGTAATTCCCACATGAATTTGACTGACTATAAGTATATTATAGATTATAATTTAGACTTAAACCAATATAATGTATTCTATTCTTATGAAGTTTCTAGAGGTTTTTTCCATTTTTCCAATTTTTAATGTCATAAAACAGTGTTCCATTTCAAATTGCGCTTGTCAAATATGATCATGCCTGTACAAACGGTATGTCAATCATGTAAATGCTTAATTTATGTGAAATATATATGGTATACATTATCATCTGTGTTAACCAACCTACCCTAGGTGAACTTTCGATACTAGTGTATATGCTTAACGGTAATATCAACATGTACCTTAACGAGGCATTTCATTTTGCAAACGCTGAGTTGTGCAAAGTATCCCTCAAATACATACAAGAATGGATACCGCAATATGCAGGCATCCTGGGGCTCTTATCAGCCAACAGGTCTACGTGACTTGAGAAAAATGTGCTTTTAGTGAATCAAAGAGGTAAAGCATTACATCGAAGAAGGCTTACTTTCAGGCGGACCACTTTCAAAATCTGTACCATCACATTCTTAGAGGCTGACGGTATTGACGTCCACGGATTGTACGAAGTATACTAACGCAAGATCTAATAGCCAAAACTTCTATAGTGTTCGTTCCGCGCAGACCAAAGGCAAAACAAAACACCACAATTGATCGTCCAAATTACGAGATATATTTCGGGACCAAATCGGAGTGCGATATGATTGCCTAGCTGGCTAGGGATCGTGCACGAACGTGACACGACGGAGTACCAAATGGCGTGGATGCTTGACCGGAAGCCTTCAGTTAAACAATTCGACTTAAACAGAGTGGGTCAGCATCCAATGTTCAGTGATGAGTGTTGTGGTTAATAATTTCGGGGAGTCACTTACTATTGCAGCTCACTCCCCTCCTAGTGGGGTTGTGAGGACCCTAAGACTGAACCGACCGGAAGTAAAAAAAGTAGTTCCCCATCGGTAAAAACTTTTCCCAGCGGTATTATGGAGTGCCCACTGGTCGTCTACATATGCTAATAGAGTGTCTGTACATCGCTTCGTTGATGTTTGTCCTTTGGATCTCATGCTTCGTTTTTTTCTTGTACAGTGCCCGTCGCACCTGGAAAAGAAAATAAGAATGCTAAGAACCTTCTTGAGGAAGATGTACCAAACAAAACGCTTGAAAAATGATTTGCATCTACCATACAGTAAAATAACGCGAAAATAAAACATCGGAAATAAAGTATATATCTAATTTTTTAGTGGACGTAACATGTACGGTTATAGAAAAGTTTTTTGCTTGTGTTGCGGGATGCAATATAAACAAATTGATGTGCCTGAAATAAATATATAATAATGAGAATTGGGTGAATCGCATCACTTAGTTATGTGATATAATAATAATTTATATTTCGTATAAACGGGCAAGTTTACAAGAAATGCATTGCATTTTTACAGGCACAATCAATAATCTTATAAATTGCAATCCTGAAGTATCACAAATTAATACTTTTTCGGCCAAGTTAAAGTTTAGACACCAATAACTGCCAATCAGCGAACGACGTCGAATTATCCAATGACATTCACGAACGTAGTTCAATATTGTATAGCGCTTGATTCATTTCAAATGCGTGCCCTTACAAGTTTACGTTTGCAGTTCGAGGAGGATAGTATCTTCCAGTATTGCCTAGACGTAGGCTTGCTTCGAAAGGAGAGAAATTGTTCGTGTGGTGGTGTTATGACTCTAAAAAGCTATTCGAGGTCAACTGATGGATTTGTCCATCGTTGTGGATTATGCTGGAAGCGAGTTGGTTAGTTAGAGAGGTAAAGCTGCTAATTTTAATATTTCGTAGGAACTTATTTTACTAGGTCGCATCCCTCCCTAACCCAGATTTTGTATATCTGCAACTATTGGGTATTGAAGCAGCCAGTGAGAGCGGCAGCTGCGGAGACGGAGATTAGCCTTGTCTCAACAGTCCAATTGTATCAGCACTGTAGAGACATCGCCTCATGGAAAATGGAGATAATTACCTCGTTGTTAGGCGGGGATGACGTAGTAGT